AGAGTCTATAGAAGAGATGTGGAAATAAGAAAAATCCCCCTGCACATGGAAGCATATGGTTTCCATGCTTGGAAGAGTGGGATTAGGATCTGTATCACAAGTAAAGGATATATCTGATGTGCTCGTTCTAGCACAGTCCTTTTCTCTTTGTGGTTTCATTGCCAGCTGTGTAGCTCCTTTCTCCTAATGTGCAGAAGAACAATCTGGTTAAGAGGAATGCTTACATAGCAGGGGGTGAAGGATATGTAAGACCAGGAGAGGAGATGCTGCAGATCTTTACGAACAACAACACTCAAACGAGCTTTTAGATGCCCTTTACGTTCTTGCTCTCATTCCATGTATTTCTCCACTAGTCCTTGTGACGTTTCTCCTTCCTTAAGCTGGGAAGGGCGATGAGGAGATATTTCTGCCTGTTTATAACTGCTCAGCTGTATTCCTAGCCTTTTCAGCTGAGGAAGTGGGATGCTTTACAAAGCCTAGAGCGTGCATATAGAGTCCCATCCCAAAACCTGTGTAGCTCCTCTAAGAATCCTCTGCAGGACACGCAGGAGTTATGCTTAGAAGGAAATAATCCATTGCCAGCCACCATCTGTGGAAAAAGAATAGTGTGGGAAGCCTCCAAAGCCACCTTCATTTACTACTCGTTTCTGCCACCACACTAGTGTTTTATTTACACGATGATCTCTTTCTGTGTCATTAGGAATGACTGGAAGAAGGTGCAGAAACAGTTATATAAGGTAGGATAATTAGTACTGTCACAGCACAGTAAATCCTTTCCCTGTTCTGTAATTCCCTGAGGCATATTTAATCACTCTTGAAAAGCACACAGATGATCTGTGTTACAGCCTCCCTGTTCCATGTAAGAAGCATCCTGATCGTAGCCTACCCCATTGATGAGCGTGGACACAGTGAGATGCAGCAACCAGAGAATGTTACTGTCATATCTGCTGGCTTCCTGAGGAGGGTCCCTCTTCAGACTTCTAAATCCTTTAACTCTCTGAATTTCACTGAATTTCACTGAATTTCAGAGTTGGAAGGGACCATAGAGATCATCCAGTCCAACCCCCCTGCTGAAGCAGGATTGCCCAGAGCTTGTCAGAGCATGTTACTCAGGAGCATCCAGGTGGGGCTTGAAAATCTCCAGAGAAGGGGACTCCACACCCTCCCTGGGCAGCCTGTTCCAGGGCTCTGCCACCCTCACCCTGAAGAAGTTTCTCCTCATATTTGAGTGGAACCTCTTCTGTTCCAACTTGTGCCCGTTGCCCCTCGTCCTCTCACTGGGAACCACTGAAAAGAGTCTGGCTCCCTCCTCCTTCAACCCTCCCTTGAGATACTTGTAGGCATTGATAAGGTCTCCCCTCAGCCTTCTCTTCTCCAGACTAAAGAGTCCCAGCTCTCTCAGTCTCTCCTCATAAGGGAGATGCTCCAATCCTTGAATCATCTCAGCCTTCTCTTCTCCAGACTAAAGAGTCCCAGCTCTCTCAGTCTCTCCTCATGAGGGAGATGCTCCAGTCCTTGAATCATCTCAAGTTAAAGAGAAGAACAGCAGCTTACTCTTCTCTCTTTAGAACTCCTATGTTTGAGGGAACCATGAAGCATTTTCTGTGGTTACACCTCTACTTCTTTAAGGTAATGCACTTATTAAGGTGTACCACAAGTCAAAAAGATGCATTATTAAGGGTGGCTGTAACACTGATATTGTAAATCAGGGGGAAAAAACTTCTTTGACCTTCTGAGATTGAAGCTTGGTAAAACAACTGTGGTGCTGAACTGCAATGTTGCAGCTCATGTGGAGTCGATGTTTCCTTCCACCCCTCCTCTCATATACTGTTCACTGTATTTTCCATTCTAGTTTACAAAAAATATTATGCTTTAGATACTTAACTGAATTTTGCTTTTGGCATGCATGTACATTTTTGTTAGAACTGTGTTCTACTCCTTCAAAGTTGCTCTAAAATTTATATAAAGGCACATTGAGTAAAAGTAGTATGATACTTTTTGGTTTGGTTTTATGCTGGCTTACAGAACTGTGTAGTGTTCTCTTCAGGTTAAATGGTCCATACTTGTTCTAAATAGAAAGTATCAAATACCAATGCTGTGAATATTAGAAGGGTTGGTTTCTTTTTTTTTAATATAAAGTTTTCTCAAGTCTATAGTGTTGTAGCTAAAGGCAAATTGTCTCTTTCACCTCTCTACCCACCACCTCCTTTTTTTCCAGAATTGCCTTTGTTCTAAACCTGATAAAATGCTTGCGTACAGGAGAAAAGTGAGCTAATGCAACCTAAGATTTGTTTTAAAACTGACTTAAGTGAGTAACTTGGACATTTTGTCATCCTTATATTGAAGTAGATATCTTTGTATGGGGTTTTGCAGTTAGGAAAATCAAATAAAACCTGATTTATTTTCTTAATGCAAACAGGTTAGACAAACAGGAAAGGTTTTCCCTGATTTCAGTGGATGTTCAGCTGGCGCTTTTTTCATTAAAATATAATCCAGTTTGCTTCGGTGTATCACAGGAATAGTCTGCTGCTTTAACTGGCAGGCACCCAGGATCTAGAAGGTGAAAGGAAACGTAGTAGGTGATATCATAACAAACTCTTGCCAAATTGAGGTTAGAGGGAATTTCCATTTTCTTTGTAGATGGTATTAAAAGTTCTTATATACAGTGAGAGCAATGACGGTATCCAACAGCCTTTTCCATGCCAGTTCCAGGACCGAAGGATGCTCAGCCATCTGCTCCTGACACACAGCTACCACAAAACCTGTGGGATGGATGGAGAACCCCCTTTGAGCAGCTCTGAAGAAACTGCTGTATTGGGGAAGGCTTGATGGTTGCTGGGAGAGGTACTGAGGTAACACTTGGTCACAGAATCAGACTTTGTATAATTTTAATAGTGAAACTTACCTTTACTTTTTATCACCTATTTAAAATGCAAGCAGAGTGGTACAAGTTCCCTGTTTAATACTATTTAAAGTCTCTTCAGACTCTCTTTACTATGTTAAGTTTCTTCAGAATGGACTGTCTCCTGTGGAGGCGTCGTGGATTGGACTTTCACATCATTACTGTTAGTATCAGAATAACTTTCAGGGAAGACTGTGCTCCTATCCTGTGAAGGATCTGATAGAAAGACTGAAAATAAGTCATATTCTGCTTTTTAAAAATGCTATGATGTCTATATTTCTGAGAAAGCTATGACAGTTTCAGTCTGTCATCTAGAAGTATCAGTCACAGAAAAGCACACGTTGCCTGTAGAAGGGGGTGAGAGACAGAAAACCTTTTGCTTTCCTTAGCCACGCACCTCTTGCAAGAAATCATGAAGCCAAGACATGTGACAAACACGGTTTTAATAATTACTGATGCCAGCAACTGTGCCAGGAAATGGTGCTGGTTCTGGAAGCAATAAAAAAGCAGCAGGCTCCCTTGCTTAAACTTATCTTTAAAGAAGTTTTGTCTCCTTTTTCCATGCCTTCAGAACTCTGCCTGACATCACCTGGGCCCTCCGCGCAGTCTGGCTGAAAGGACACTTTCTGACTTCCAAGAAAAACAAATAGAAATGCAAAAATCTTGCATCTGGCCTGTTACCTCATCCTCGGCCACCTGGGCTGCTTGAGAGTCATCATAAGATTCCCAGTTCCCTTTTCCTTGCTATATAATAAAAAGGACTGTTGGGAAAAGAGACATTCCCAGAAAGCAGATAATACTTAGATCTCAAAGAGTTAGAAGGACTGATCTGTGTTATTTCTACATGAACTGGTAGGTTTCTTCAGGTATTAAAGAATCTATATGTTTAATAAAACCTCCCTGTGAAGCCAAGATGCATGTGATCTATCAATTATTTGCCATCACCAAAAAAATACTTCTTTTCCACAGCCCTGGTCCTGAATTACAGACAGTCAGGCTTTACTCCTTCCTTTTGCCTTAATTACCAATCATCAAAGATACATAGTGCAGTTCCTTCCCCCTCACCCTTGATGGATGAAGGATTTTACAGTGTTCAACATGCAGGAGGGCTGTCACCCTGTGTGTTAAGAAACAGACAAATTCAGTTACAAATTCTGTTCAGGAAAGCTAGCAAAAGCTTAATTCTGACAAAAATGTTTCTTTTAATCTCGTCATTGATGATCCCGAAATCATCATTTTCACAAAAACTTGAGAGAACAAAACATTCAGAAAAATTGCATGTGGCATCCTGGAGGACCTACACCATTTCTGCTTCTGTGGCTTGTTCAGTAGCCACTTGTCAACTATTGATCTGCACATTATCTAGCTTTAACTGAAGTTCTATTAGTTGCTGATGATTTTTTTCAGAAGACCAAATAATTTGAAAAGGAAAAAACCAGAAAGTTACACGTGTGGCTTTTTTTCAGATACCAACTTCCAAACAAACTTAATTGATGAGTATTCCTATTGCATTTCTATAGCATTTTGGTGTAAATGTGTCCCTTATTCTCAGAAACCAGTTTGCACTTATTTAGGTGGTGTGGTTTTTTTCCTCTATAGGCTTTGTTTTGGTTCATGGGAGTTTTATGCCACTTCTCTGTCTGGAAAAAGTGTTTGAAGGAGCACTTCATTGTTCAGTAAGCAGATTTCCTTCTGCTTCAGGTACAGAAAAGGAAAATAAGTGGGTTGCGTTGTCTTCAGAGCATTTCAACATACATGCAGGATACACCAACAAAATGTAGAATTCCAACTGGTACCTCTTTTTCCAAGAAAAAAACACCAGATGTTTTGAGTTTTTGCAGGATGTGTACACTGATTCTCATACCTTATGTATGGATTAGAAATTAATCACAAGCAGAACTCTCTCATCCTGTCCTAAGATATCATCCACTGGTGCAAAGGTCGCTCTTTGATTTGTAAGCTTTTCATGTGTCCTGTCCAGATCTCTAAGTTTGTGAACCCGACATAATAGTCACTTAGTTCTCATGGCTGAACGTACTAATAGGAGACTTGGGCTGGGGATTAAAAGAAAAAGATTTAAATAAACTTAAATTCACAGTTCAGGCTTTGGTATGACATTTATTTTCTTAGAAGTAAATATAAAACAGTATCTATAAAAGTTATCAAAATGTGTAAGTGTAGGTTGATAAAAATAATCTGCTATCATAATCTTTTGCCGGAGTGATGGGCTGTCATTCTTCAAACACAAGAAGAGCATTCTCTAAGTTTGAGATCACATAGAGGGGAAAATCACCCCTTACATTTCTGGTGGGTTTTCGTTCTATTTTTTTTTTGAGTAACATTTACCGAAAAAATCAAATATTTGGTTCTGTAAAAGGTTAAAAATGATGTTGCGAATGCCATGACTCAAACATGCATTTTCTTTTTTCTCTTCAAGACCAAAGTAACAGTAATTGATCAGAGAGACAGATACAGTGTCAAATGTTAAAATCTTTCCAACCTCAGAGTTACGAAAATAGCACCAGAAACGTATCACAGCTACATGTACCACATCTGCAGCATATATGGTGTGTTTACATCACCTAAAAGATCAAAGTTGAATAATGCAGGACTGAAGGTGGTGCAGTCCAGCTGCGCAGTAACATCTATTTCTAAGATCAAGTCAACCACAGCTTCTCTCAGTGTTTCCACTGCCTCTCCTAAGCCAGTCGCTGTAATACGACAGCAGCAGATGCAAGCTATTATGAAACTATTATGCCCTTCTATTACTGCTTTTAAATGCAGTACATCTTTCTAGATGAAGATCAAGTACCACTTCTTAAAAATTGGATTCCTAGTCCTAGAGGAAGAAAATCAGCAAACTAGGCATTTTTATTTATTTTTATTTTTTAAGAGATAGAAAAGATGCACTTTTGCCACAGTGAGCTGTGAAACTCACAGATTCTGATACCCTTTCTGTTTATATAAACAGGTTCTCGTTCCGTGTTCCAAAAGGAAATTCAAATGTGGTTGACCTGGAAAGTCCAATTCCTAGTTCACCAAAAGATCTCTGAATTCTGTGGATTTGCCATGGACCTGATATTCACCTTGTTCTTCCTCAGGAAAGCGGCAGCTGCAGGCATCATCTTCTTGAATCGACTGGTCAGGTGTGGTATGCACTAAAGACAAAGATCAAATCATTACCTTCTGTTGTATTTATTCAGCTATCTTATTTCATCCTTTCTCAGTCACAACTGCAGGAAGTCAGCAAGAACAATTCTTCCAAATGATTCAATAATTTGAAATTATTCCTCTACAGCAGGTACATCTGATAAAGCTAATTTATAATACTTTGTTTTCCCTAATGCAACAGGAGCTGCTGGTGCTCTGTTTGCCACAGGAATGAAAGGAAGACCAACATGGAGTTGTTGGATTTTTGGAGTCTCCTGCATTCAGAATTACACTAGAAGATCAAGCCCAGATCTCTAGGAGAGGGAGAGAGATACACAGAAAAACCCAAACAAAAAATCCCAACTATAAACTATAGTGGATGCAATTCCACCTCATCTTTGTGCTGAACTCTTGAGCTTCCTTAGGGCTTATTAGCTCTGAGAGGCAGTGCTAGATTCAGGCTGACTCTGCATCTGTGTAGCAGCATCTCCTGACTGATACCCCCTCTTCTACTGCAGCCAGCCTTCACAGATGCTCACTCCAGGCCACACGTACTGTTTCTGAGCAGACAGAACTGGCAAGTTCCACTGCCAGGCTTGCCGAGGATGGTACTTAAAAGTAATAAACAGAACTGACCCTTAACCAGATCAGAAAGGCTCAGCTGAGCTTTTTCACCTCCCGTGAATATTTCACTTCTATGGATATGTGTGCAGTTAACCTGCAACGTTGATAGAACATCCACAGGTCATTAAGTACTTTCTGCAATAAATTCCAAAACTGTTTTCCTTTTTCAGGGCAAAAAAAATGAAGCTATCTGCAACTATTTTTGAAAGATATTAAAAAACCCGGATTCCTGATTTCTATTTATTTTCAAAAAGGAAAAACTGAAGAGTCCATCTATCTTACTTTTCTTGAAGACAGCGTGTAGTTTCTTTTTCTGCCAGATGCTGAAGCACACACATGAAGGCAGCAGAAACACTATGCACAACAGCCCAGCTACAGTCAGAGAAATTCTGATCATGTCTGTCTGGAGGTCGTTCCCTAGGAAGCAAACAACATTCTCTAAGAAGTGTTAAAGAGCAAAATTCTGCTGTCCCTTGAATTAGCCCACAACTTTGTCTCCAACACTGTTTCTGGGTAAGTCTGCAACACTGGTAATGAATAGAGGAAACGATTCTTGCTTTAAATGGCAAGTGAATGAGCTATAGTATGTTTCAAAGTAGGTCATAATTCTTTAGTTCTCTAAGCAATATTATACAATGACTCACCTGGCACGGTGATAGAAAATGGAACTGCAGGAGATGTGGTAGGTAGGGTAGTGACTAAAGTGGGATTAGCTGAAGCATGTTTGCAAACAACATCTTTTTCTGCAGTTCCAGGCTCCAGAACCTGGTCTGCAGAGCACCTGAAAGGTATGTAAAGCAAAATGTTAAAAAAAAACCAATAAGGTAAAATACAGTCAAGTGTAATAGCTGTACCATTTATTTTTAGATTACTTACTTTGTCCAGTTTTTACAGGAGTAATAGCAGTACCATTTATTTTCAGATTACTTACTTTGTCCAGTTTTTACAGGAGCCATTGGGCTGATCATTAAAAGTTCCATAGCGACAAGTTTGGCAACCTTCAAACAGACAAGGACAGGTAAATTTGTACAGGATAAGCTTTTAAAACAACAGGTGAAACATCATTTTTTGCCTGTTTGTCCAATGACTATGCCCACATTCATAGTATTACTACTTCATAAGCTGCTCTCAGTATGCAAGGTAAGTCCTTCCCTGTGAGCTATGGACCAGTAGAGTGCTCGGCTGCGGAGCCAGGTTATTTGGCAGAAGATGACACAAATCAGGTTTAACTCCAGAGTTTGTAGTTCACTTTCTTACCAAACAGCTGTGATGCAAAGGGAACTAACTGCTGTGAGATGTGAGCTGCAGCAGGGTGCAGAGTTGGGTGGGTTTGCCTGCTGCCGGTGCTTACTACCGGCACCACGCAAACTGTTTAGCAGCTGTGGGAGCTTTTACCTTGTGAGGTCCTCACACTCTAGTTGCAAGAGGGAGAGGTTTAAGCTGGGGGGAAAGACAGCCTTACCACTCCTGGTGCTCTCCTGGCCCACCCCGCAGCTTCGGTCGCAGCGGGAGCAGCCCACGCCGCTGCAGCGATACCCCTCCTTGCACGTGCATTCGGCATCGCTTTTTGAAGAACACGCTTTTAAGTATTTGAATTTTCCTGTAAGGTGGAAACAAGCCTTAGGCAGGTTGCAGGGAGTGCAGACCCCAGCGTGGGCAGGGTCTCTTCCAAAAATCAGACCGGTAGCATCACCCTGCAGCCTCCCCGCGTTGTTTGGCCGGTGTCCTTGTCACTCGCTGCGACCCGATAAACTCGTGAACCGTCTTTTACTGCGGGGGGTCACACTCTAGTTGCAAGAGGGAGAGGTTTAAGCTGGGGGGAAAGACAGCCTTACCACTCCTGGTGCTCTCCTGGCCCACCCCGCAGCTTCGGTCGCAGCGGGAGCAGCCCACGCCGCTGCAGCGATACCCCTCCTTGCACGTGCATTCGGCATCGCTTTTTGAAGAACACGCTTTTAAGTATTTGAATTTTCCTGTAAGGTGGAAACAAGCCTTAGGCAGGTTGCAGGGAGTGCAGACCCCAGCGTGGGCAGGGTCTCTTCCAAAAATCAGACCGGTAGCATCACCCTGCAGCCTCCCCGCGTTGTTTGGCCGGTGTCCTTGTCACTCGCTGCGACCCGATAAACTCGTGAACCGTCTTTTACTGCGGGGGTCCTCCCCGCCGCGTCTCCCCCCCAAATCCCAACCCCGGTACCTTCGCATTTCCTGCAGAGGGTGCAGGCGCTGAGCCCCGCCGCGGCGGAGAAGGTGTCGGGGGGGCACTGCCGGCAGCTGGCGCCGTTCCCGCAGCCGCCGCTCACCACGAAGGTACCTGCGGGAGGAGACAAGAGGGTGATGCCGCGGAACTGCGCCCGGTGCCCCGTCCCCTTCCCGGCCCGGTCCTTCCCTCACCCGCTGGGCAGTGGGCACCGCAGGGCAGGGCGGCGGCGGGCGGGGGGCTGAGCGCCATGGCCAGCAGAGCAGCCGGCAGGAGCGCCCGGCCCGGCCGCGCTGCTACCGCTCCCATGGGGTCGGTGCGCGGCGGCGCGGACCGCTGGAGTGTGCGCGGGGCGGCGGGAGCCGGCCCTTAGGGGCCGCCCCCGGAGGGCCCGGCTGCGTCAGCCCGGGGGCGGAGGGGAAACCCCGGCCCGGCGGGGCTTTCCGCCCACCCCCCCCAACTCCGGCGCGACCCCC